ATCCAACAGTGTATGATTTAAACTCAGTTCCAGAAAGGTAGCTAGTTACAGATACACTAAGGTCCAGGAAAAGGGTTTTAAACAGTTAACTGAGATATTAGCTGGGCTACTGCAGGAAACTTCTGTAATCTGTTGTTGCTTCTTTTACACTATCTCCTTTATAATATAGCATCTCAGATATGAACTGTGGCACTGCTGGCTGATGAGTAAAAGCACTGATCTAGCATCCACTTAATCCCCACCCTCATGCCCTCCAGACACCACACAACATCTCCCAACCAGCATAGTCATGCTGACAAGGGAAAGATGGCTGCTGATTCTTGCCAATAATACAATATTGCTATGAAATGTAGAGAAACCCCTCGGAGAACGCTGTGGCGGGAGATCCTCCTCGGAGCGCCAGCTGTGCGGAGGGCCGGCTGCTCCAAGGATGACCTGGGGAAGGGGTGACAGCCACGGTGAGCATAGTGCGCATGTGCTAGAAGATCATTTCTAGTACATGTACGGGATTTTCTCACTTGTGTGTGAACGTTAAATGCAGTTTCAGTGGGAGCTTCCCTTAATTGCACAATTAAGGTAATTACGTGTGAAAACCATTTGCGGAATCAAGGTTTATTTCCGGTTTATTTTCAGAATTTATCATTTCCAGTTTATTATCGCTTTGTGGCCCACGTGTGGTAACGTCCATAGACTTGGTGGTCTCAGATGTATCCATCTGAGGAAGTAAAGTAAATCCACAATAGCTTACGTTACAACTTCTTTCACACTTCATAAACTTGGTGGGCTTCTTCCTCAGATGTATGCATCTGAAGAGGTAAACCAAGTATACAAAAGGTTATACTACAGCTTCTTTCACACAGTTAGGGGCTGAACAGACCAGCACTTTAGGCCAGCCTGGGGGTAGAGTGGGGGCATGGTGACTGCACACTGGCCACCCCGACTCTGCCCCCACATCGTCCTCATGCCGCACACCTCACTGCATGGTGGGAGGCATCAGAATGCTCCCTTGGCACAGTGTTCACACATGCTGCACCAAAGGAGTCCTGAAAAGCCACTGCCATGACAGCAAGGGTGGCTTTTTGCGTCTCTAAAAAGGAGCAGCATTTGACAGCTCTTTTTAGAGCAGCAAAGCACTGGATCGGGGCCACGGCATCTGGTTGCCACAGTCCCAATTCAGAAAGTAAAGGGCCCATTGTTCAACCCCTTAGTCTCAAAAGTGCTACAAGATCCCTTTGTATGTTACTATCATTTTCAGCACTCAAACCCAATGAATGAAGAGGAGGAGGCACTTCATGAAGAACTATTGTATTTAACTCTTGGTCCTTCAAGGCTAGAGGGCACTGTTTTTACCAGCCATCTCTCCTTTGGTAGGCTAATTCCTGAAACAGTTCCTGTTACCTGCACACAACAGGAGATGGCAATCACGTAACAAGGCTGCAGCACTTTAAGGGCGGCCTATAGTTGGACTATTCTGGCCAGCCTTCAGAGAGCTTCACAAGACCTTTGTATCTTGCTGAAACAAGTGCTGCCTTCTTCTATAGTTGAGAACACTCCAATCTCATCTTCCCAAGTGCTTTTGCCTCATCTAAACTAAAAGAACTGTGTCTGTTCTGACTTGTTCTTTTCTGAAACACAGCATACATGACATTGACTTTCCTGCTGTGCTATTACTGGAGGCAGCTCTACCTTACATGCTGCTATGCTGCCCTCCTAGTAGATGACACTGCTGCAATCTGTGAAATGGTAGCATGGCCAGAGCAGAGCAGAACCCAACAACCACCAACAGAAGTGAGAGGGAAGAGCAAAGTGTCAGATTCACAAGACTATGGACACACAACATTTCTGGCAAACTCCAATGAAGCAGTAAGCCCTGAGAAGTGCAAGCCATGAAGCAGTCCCAAGACCTTCAAATGAAGTGCAAATTTCTCAAAGAGGAAACACTCTGGTCTGGGCTAGCATTTTTTTTTCTTTGTGGGGGAAGAGCAGGGAGATTAGCAATTCTTCAGTCTTTTCTTGTCTTGATCCTGTCTTTTCATCAACAGACTAGATTTTAGGAGACATGAAAGCTGTCTGGATCTATGTAGTCAAGGTCATTTTGGGAGAGGTAAATACTGAGTGATAAGACAACACCTTCATCTTGGTGTGTAGATGTGTGATAGATTCGGACCATGAAGCACTTGGGAGACTTTCTTAAGGGCAAACCATAAGTAACGTTCATTCTCACAGTATTCTATATCTGTATCCATGTGTGTGTATGTGTGTGTGTGTGTACGCCTTCATGTTGCCTGTCAACTTACGGCAGCTCCCATGAATTTCATAGGGTTTTCTTAGGCAAGGAATACTCAGTGCTGGTTTCTCCAATTCCTTCTTCTGAAATATATCCTCCAGCACCTGGTATTCATTGGTGGTCTTCCATTCAATTACTAGCTTCCAAGATCATACAGGATCTGGTACCTCTAGAGCATTTAGGAATTTGTGTGAGCAGGTATTTATTCCTATATAGATATATTTATAACAAAATGAACCTGTAGAGGAACAGTCTACTTCAGAAAGTACACAGTGGGGGAGGCTATTTTTAACCCTTTGCCCCTCCTGCACTTCTTCTGTTAGAAAACCTCTCCTAACAGTGGAAAATATAATGAATATCCATATGTCCCCGTCCACCTCCCCTATCAAGGAAACTTTATATGGTGCTAAAATTAACCCATATAGATGAACTCTTCTACCATGAATCCATTTCTAATTCACAACTGATTTGGGATACAAAAGTAGCATTTTCACCTCGCAACAAGTTAACAGCATATACATCTTTTATATAGTTTCCCAAGCCAAAACATAAGGGAAGGTGAGAGTGCAGAAGAGCAAATGAAATACAAATTGCCAAAATAAACTTGTCAAGATGTCCATGATTTCTTTCCTTTTCACACTGCCCAGCAAATATGTGTGGGCATCAAATCTAGTGTAGCATGCTTACTGTGATCTGCTACCTCCCCTCCACCTAATTAGGAGAGAGATAAAACAGTAGTAACACACAGATCAGCTGTAATGATTTTGTTAGCTCGATTATTCTTCTGACAATTAGGTCCGGCTGCCATGGCCTCACAGGAATGTCAAAGTCTTCTTTCTACAAAGCAGGTAATGTCACAGGTGTGACCGTGAAATCAATAATGAGGCATAGCTCTTTGCAGAGGGCATCCAGGTCAGACAGAACAGCCCTTAAATTAAACATTGATAAGCAGAACACAATTATCCATCATGTTTAAGGGCCTGCGTGAAATTAGCAGCCAGGGAATGGGAGCAGTGGGGAAAAGATTAGCAGAGGATGTGTTGAAAGGCAGAGTGCCCACTAACACTGTCACTGTTTGTATCTGACTGCAGTATTGGTAGATGCTATCCAAAGCTGTAAAATGCAAATTACAAACACTGCTGAAATCATAGCCCAGATGTTGCTTTTTCTTTTCTTGCTATAAGCAGGCAAGAGAAAGGTACACAATCCTGCACTTTACCTCTGCTTCCCCTGCACAGAAAAACAAGGTAGTTTGAGAACAACAAAATAATTCACTGAAAGCGAAATAATGGAGAGCAAACTTGTGTTCTGAAAACAATTCCACATGCATTTGTACTTATCTGTCTCACTGCGGAAATTTAGTCAAAATGTTTAGCTCAGTTTTATATATCTATTTAACTTATTTTTCGCCTGAAATTTAAGCTAAACTAGAGCTTAAAGGGTTTTTTATAGTGGGATCCCACACCTTTACCCTATAAAATAAAAAATAATAAAAGACTATAAAGTGCAGTTGTGACTAAATGTTACATACAAGTATTAGAAAGGAAGGAATAATTAATCTGGTCACTTAAAAACCATAACCATCTTTTTTTTTTTTAAAAAAAAAAAAAGCAAGTAGAGAGATTCCTTTTATTTTATCAACTACATGTTCTTTCCCTTTCTACTCCCTCAAGATCTTTCCTGCTCAAATCTCAGTTTCCTCCCCTTGCCTGTGCACATTCTATTTTTAAAAAATTGAAGATGTTATTTGTTTATAGGAAATATGAAGTCAGGATAGGTGCAACCAATGGATTCTGCTTTGGAAAGTCTCCCCCCCCCCCCAACCCAGTCCCTGCAAAACATGATGATCCTGCAGTAAATTAATTCCAAATCTATCCAAATTCCAAAGCACTTGACAGCCTAGCCTACCATCCCTGATATAACATTCTGGATGACTTTCACAAATACAGGAATGGCATCATCATAGCAATGGCATCTATGATTTATTGTTCTCCAGGCTTGTATAGAGTATGTCAGAATGCCACAACTCTTTAAGTCTCCCATAAGGAAGGATTTCATTCCAGCAATGCTCTATCCAAAAAGAAATCTCAAGTGCAAAGTAAATTTAGAGTGCCATAGAATTCAGTTAGCCACTGTCTCACAGAAACAGTGGCTAGTTCAATTTCCACTTTCTGCCAATCAGATATAAAATTGCACCTATCCATTGCCTTCTGATTGGTGCTATTATGCTTATGTTCCTAAGGACCCAATTTGTAGCAATGCATTCAAAATGAGGAAAGCCAGATAGACCAGAAATGGTGAGAATCTTAACTCAGAGGAAAATTTGGCTGGTCTCAGGGGATATATCATAATGTTTGCTTACATGTCTGTCCTACTAAAAAAAACCAAAACACCTTTTTGTGAAGCCTTTGGAACCATGCCTATTAATTAAGCCTAAGTATGTAAAACCGACATAAAGCCATATGCCTACCTACCTATTCTACCTCCAACCCCACCCCCACCCCCACATCTTGAATTATATAATACAGGAACCTATTTTCTATGTAAAATACTGTGATCTGTTGTTGTTGTTGTGTGCCTTCAAGTTTTTTCCAACTTATGACAATCCTAAGGTGACCCTATCATGAGGTTTTCTTGGCAAGATTTGTTCAGAGGAGGTTTGCCATTGCCTTCCCCTGAGGCTGGCTTGCTCAAGCTCACCCAGTAGGTTTCATGGCTGAGCTGGGAATTGAATCCTGGTCTCCAGAGTTATAGCCCAACATTCAACCACTACACCACGCTGGCTCTCAAAATATTGTGAT